TTCTTTAATATACAAATATATATATATATATATATATATAGCCGAACTTTCTTCAATATACAAATATATATATATGTAGCCGAACTTTCTTTAATATATATATATATATATAGAGAGAGAGAGAATCAGTAACGCTAGTACTATGTTGTTGAAATGGTACACGTAACGTCCGATGAAACTGTGACACTTTAAACTGTAAGGTATTCAATTAATCACCAGGAGGTGTATCTCTGGTTGTTGAAAGTATGATGGAGTTAACGATTGGGTAATATTCTAATGACGTCATATTTTATGAGCCGTTGTTAGTAAATATAAATATGAGTTTTATATTCTAGGCGGAATTTGATATATATATATATATATATTTATATATGTATATCAGAAACATTACAAAGAGACTCAAAAACCAAAATATATTTTATCGTTACCATTTTTTGTTATCATCATTAAATCTCATAAAGGATAATGTCTGTGGCCATAGCACCCCAAACGTGTTGGTGTATTCCATCTAGCAAACAAGATCCAGACACCGATATCAAACTAGAAAGCAACTAAGTAAAATCAGTTAAGAGTTAGGAGTTGAGTGCTTGAACACACAACGTCTAAACTCCGACTACCTTTCGCTATCTGCAGCCAGTTGTGGAAGGCAGTTACCCTTAATATTTAGATATAACCTTAATTTAGAAATAAACCACCCTAAATTTCTACAATGTAAAACTCCCAACCTCCACCCTTTTATGAGAAAGGAAGGAGGATGGAGAATTAAGAACTATTAAGGTAAAGGGTTTAGTTCTGTTTAACATCATTTTGTAATTATCAAATAAAAGGTTGGAGGTTGGGAGTCTTGTAGAAATATAGGGTTGTTTATTTGTTCTTTAAGGTTGTATCTAAATATTAAGGGTAACTGTCTTCCCACAAAAGGCTGCAGATAGCGAAAAGCAGTCGGAGTTTAGACGTTGTGTGTTCAAGCACTCAACTCCTAACTCTTAAGTGATTTTCCTTAGTTGCTTTCTAGTTTGACATCGGCGTCTGAATCTTGTCAGTTTTGATTTTTGAGTCTCATTTTTGATTTATATCGATTTCATCATTATCATTTTATAGTGCTGATTAAAAAATCGCCTATTTGCAAATAACATATTCAATAGATTTAGAACTATTGATTTGTATATATTTACATGCTTTAGTCAACATCTTTTGTTTACATCTGTTGAAATGAAGTGCACGTGCATTTAGATAGTAAAGTACGCGCGCATTTTCAGGACAGACAAAAAATGAGTATTATTATTATAATAGATATTTTTACTTTTGCTTGGTGGTTGGGGAAGGGGAAGATGTAGCCCACTTGTTGAACAATTCAAACCTTGGGAGGTAATTTTTCGTTCTTGGTTACATAAAATAAATAAATGGATAAATGTCAGTAAAACATGCCACGTTCTTCTTTAAATGAATTGTATTCACGTTTATAAATGTTCTGTCTAAAGAAGTCAAAGAAAGTGTGACCGTGACATCGTAATTCCATTTGATTTTTTTAAAGACTAAATGTAGGCTTGTGGCGATCGATTGTTGTCATGGTTAGTCTAATTAAACAGTTCCTGTTTTGGTTTTTTCTTTAAGTTAGTAATTACCAGCTAGTTTTAGCCTACATTGCGGCTAATAATCTGCTGTCGTCTAGGACAATGTTTCCCAAATGCCTGTCTACGGCCCGGTATCGGTCCTTGACTTAATTTCTACCGGTCAGCAACGTGTCTTGACTGTTGAAAGCACTGACCTTTACTTACGTTT